GTGTGCACCACCACATCCAGCTGCAAATTGAATGTTGTTTTTTTTTTTAATATTTTTAGTTGTACTACACAATACTTTTTTTTTAAAGAAAGAGAGAGAGAGAGAGAGAGAGAGAGAGAGAGAGAGRGAGAGAGAGAGAGAGAGAGAGAGAATTTTAATATTTATTTTTTAGTTTTCAGCAGACACAACATCTTTGTTTGTATGTGGTGCTGAGGATCGAACCCGGGTCGCACACATGCCAGGCGAGCGCGCTACCGCTTGAGCCACATCCCCAGCCCCTACACAATACTTTTATTTCTTTATTTCACGCGTGTGAAGCAAGCACTCTTATCACTAGGCAAGAACTATAACCCCAGACCCCACAAATTGAGTTTTGAAGATACTATTTTTTTATTTTTCTGTACAAGGAATTGAACCTAGAGCTTCTTGCTTGCTACCACTCTACCACTGAACTACTGAGCCACATTCTGAGTCCTATTTATTTTATTTTGGGATAGGGGCTTGCTAAATTGCAGTTTGGCTTTGAATTTGTGGTCCTCCTGCCTCAGCCTCCAGAGTTGCTGGAATTACAAGCTAGTAATACTATGCCTGGTTTAAAGATACTTCATTAAGGACAAACTCTTTAACAAAATTCGACTTTGTCCAGGTGTGGTTGTGAGCATCTGTGGTCTCAGCTGCTCAGTAGGAGGATGGCTTGAGTCCTGGAGATCCAGGCCAGCCTGGGCAGCATAGGGAAATACTGCTTTAAAACAGACAAACAGGGGCTGGGGTTGTGGCTCAGTGGTAGAACACTTGCCTCTCATGTKCGAGGCCCTGGATTCCATCCTCATCACCACATTAAAAATAAATAAATAAAAAATAAAGGTATTGTAAAACAAACTACAACAACAACAACAACAACAACAACAAAAAACCTTTGTTTCTCTCTCTCTCTTTTTAAAATCCATCCATTAATTAATTAATTTTGTGGTGCTGGGGATTGAACCCAGCGCTGAGCCCTGGCAGCCCCAGCCCCTATTTCTCTATCTTAATTTCTATACTTGCACCTCTCAGAGTCTAGTCTTATTACATGGAAATCCTCTGCTCTTATTTTCTGCCTGTGTTTATCTAGTTCCAACTGTGAGTTTCTCCTCAATCTCTACATTTGTGTGTTTGTGTGTGTGTGTGTGTGTGTGTGTGGTGCTGGGGATTGAACCCAGTGCCTGAGCTCCTATTTGTTACTTTTCCCCATTGAGCTTCAGTGTTTTAGGACTCTGTGACAGAGATCTCACTTTTTAAATTTATTTCCAGGTCTCCATTATTTCTTTTTTTCTTTCTTCATTTATTTTATAATTTTTTTTATTTTAATTTGTCGGGGCTGGGGCTGTGGCTCAGCGGTAGTGCACTTGCCTGGCATGTGTGAGGCACTGGATTCAATTCTCAGCACCGCACATAAATAAATAAAATAAAGGTCTATCAACAACCAAAACAAATATTAATTCTATTTATTTATTTATTTATTTTGTGGTACTGGTGTTGAACCCAGGGCTTCACACATACTAGGCAAATGATCTAACCCTGCTTGTTTAGCAGTACTTAAAAAAAAAAAAAGATCTTGAATTTTGTTATTGTTCATGTATCTTCTCTGTGGATGATAGAAAGTGTTATTTCTTTCTTCCATTGCTTAGTAAAATAGTAACCTTAATCTGCTCTACATTTATCATACATACTTTAAAAAAATTTTTCCCTGAGCCACATCCCCAGTTCTTTTTATTTATTTTTTATTTTATTTTATTTTTAAATACCTACCCCTTTTTATTTTGAGATAGGATCTTGTTAACTTGCCAAAGTTGGCCTCAAATTTCTGATCCTTCTTTTTTTAAATTTTTTTTAGTTTTTGATGAACTTATATATATAAATATGTGGTGCTGAGAATCGAACCCAGTGCCTCACATGTGCTAGGCAAGCGCTCTACCATTGAGCTACAATCCCAGCCCCAAATTTCTGATCCTTCTACCTCGGTCTCCCAGATTGCTGGAATTACAGACATGTGAGACGACACTCAGTGTGCTCTCTCTCTTCATTTCTKTGTTCTTCCTTTCATTCCTTCCAATATTTATTTGTTCTGTTCTTCCCCCTTTCTCCTCTCTGAGAATCTTCTGGTCRGCCCCTTTGCTTATTCTTCTGTCTCAGTGTACATCTCTGATTCTGTCTTGTCCTTCTCTTCCTGCCACTCTCTATCAGTCACTGTCAGCCAGTGGTTTGCACTATAGTTGTTTGTCCTTTGTCTTTCTGTCTGCCACCAGTTCAACATATTTCCTGCTCCCCTCCTCTGTCAGTGAGTCTTTCCACTGGCTGCCGTCTCTGCCTTCTGCCCTTCTGCCTCCCAGCTCCCCTGACTAATCCCCTCTCTATTTCCACTCTCCTCCCTATGCTAATCTCTGGATCTGCCACTATCATCACCTCCATCTCTCCAGAGTCTATTTGTTCTCCTTATCACTCACTCTCACTATTTTTCTGTCTAGACTGGCTGTGCCTTTTATACTTGGAATTCTTTTCTATCAGCCTTTATTTTATTCAAATTTCTCTTGTCTTCTTTGTGGCTAGTTGTGATTTGGGTTCTTCTCAGCCTCTGTAATAACATCTTTTTCTATATTTCTGCTAAGGCGTCTCTCTTGCTCACTCTCAATCTTTCTTTGCTTCTGCCTTCCCTGTGCCTCCTTCTATCCATCCCTATCTCTGTCATCCTCTTTGTCTTTCCTTTAGCTTCTTAACAAACTTTTTTTTTTTTTTTTTTTTTTTTTGGCGAGGGTGGCCCCTTCCCACTGACGAAATTTGATCATATGTGTTTGCTGGGGATTGAACTCAGGAGCACTTGACCACTGGGCCACATCCCCAGCCCTATTTTGTATTTTATTTAGAGACTGTGTCTCACTGAGTTGCCTAGTGCATTGCTTTTTTCTGAGGCTGGCTTTGAACTCCTGATCCTCCTGTCTCAGCCTCCAGAGCTGCTGGGATTATAGGTGTGTACCACCATACCCTGCTTGTTTATCAGTACTTWAAAAAAAAAAAAATCTTGGGGCTGCAATTGTGGCTCAGTGGTAGAACACTCACCTCTCATGTGCAAAGCCCTGAGTTCGATCCTCAGCACCACATTATAAATAAAAAATAAAGGTATTATGTCCAACTACAACTAAAAAAAATAAATTAAAAAAAATCTTGTCTTTTGCTTTTGTTTATGTATCTTCTCTGTGGATGATAGAAAGTATTATTTCTTTCTTCCATTGCTTAGTAAAATAGTAACCCAGGGCTGAGATTATAGCTCAGTGGTAGAGTGCTTGCCTCGCACTCATGAGGTCCTGGGTTCAATCCTCAGCACCACATAAAAATAAATAAATAAAAATAAAAAGGTATTGTATCCACCTACTACTAAAAATTTTTTTAAAAAATAAAATAAAATAATAACCTTAATCTGCTCTATATTTATCATACCTTCTTTTTTTTTTTTTTTGTACTCAGGATTGAACCCAAGGGCATTATACTCCTGAGCCACATCCCCAGTTCTTTTTATTTATTTATTTATTTATTTATATATATTTATTTTTTAGTTGTAGTTGGACAGAATACCTTTATTTTATTTATTTATTTTTATATGGTGCTGAGGATCAAACCCAGGACCTCACACGTGCTAGGCAAGTGCTGTACCAATGAGGCACAACCTCAGCCCCCAGTGTTTTTTGTCTTATATTTTGAGACTGAGTCTGCTAAGTTGCTTAGGGCCTAGCTAAATTGTTGAGGCTGATCTCAAGCTTGCAATCCTCCTGCCTCAGCTCCTGAGTCACTGGGATTATGAGCCTGTTCCACTGCTCTTGGCTCAATGTGGATGTTTTGACTGAGAAAGGAGGTGTCTTGTGTCATAGAAAACATATAGCAGGAATATCAGGGAAGGAAGGAAGGAGAGCTCTCAAATGAGATCCAGAAGAGGTCCAACTATTCTTTTATCCATTTGCAGCCAAGTGGGAACCTCTATCACCTGTTCTGCCCCTGCCCTCATTCTTTCATGAGACCCTGGCCCTGGGAAAGTCCTACAGTAAACACTCAGGATGGTTAATTGAGTTCCATCTATGGCTCTGGGCTTCAGTGCTATCTTAAGACAGACCTAGCCCATCCCCATTCCTCTAAGAATGTACATTTTCTTTGAAAAATCAGAAGATACAAAATAATTAAAAAGGTTGAACATAGTAGGACTAGGTTAAGCACAAACTCAATACCTGTAGTATGGCTTTGAGAACCAAAAGCATCAGCAGTAATTGCAGTGGCCTGAGTTATTCTGTCACTTGGCAACTGTAATACCCATTCCTATTGGCAATAGCATCTCTTGTGCCCCCTTCCCACTGACATAATTTGATCACATAAGGTCTCTCTTTCTTCTGGTCCTACCGTCTTCATACCAGATCTTTCTGATTCTAGTGGGACCTCACTTTCCCTCATCTGTCCCTATGCTAGAGTAAAGAGTTTCTGTTTCTATTGGCAATTTCTTCCAGCTTCATGCCTTTTGCCACCTTGTATTGATAGCTCTGGTTGTTCTCTTCAGTTCTTTTTCTGGAAAGGGTGGTCATCTGATGATGGAATTCAGTGAACAGGAGCCCACATTCCCAGCCAGTCACCAACATCAGCATTTCTTCCTGGATCTTAAAAGGGGGGGGTAGGTAGCTAGGTGTAGTGATACATGCTGTAGTCCCAGTGACTTGGAAGGCTGAGGCAGGAGAATCACAAGTTCAAAGTCACCCTCAGCAACTTAGCAAGGTCCTAAACATTTTAGTGAAATCCTATCTCAAAATAAGAATTAAAAAGGGCTGGGATGGGCTGGGGATATAGCTCAGTTGGTAGAGTGCTTGCCTTGTATGCACAAGGCCCTGGGTTCAATCCCCAGCACCAAAAAGGGGGGGGGGGTTGGGAATGTGACTCAGTGGTTAAGCACCCAGTACAAAACAAAAAAGGGGGTACTAGGGGGAGGTTAGTTAGCTGGAAGAGGACCTGAGGTACGGTAGTCCAGTCCTTATCCCCACGGAGAACTGTTCAGTAAAGATCACCATCTCCTTATCCTGGCCCCATCTCCTGTCTAGGGCTGGTAGAGGAGGAGCCTGCCATTTTTTGTAGACTTTTAGGCTGAGAATGGAATTGTCCCTGGTGACAGGCTCAACATCACATGTTCTAGTCCACCTGGTTTTCTTCAACCCAAGGAAGGGTGGGGCCAAGACCACAGTGATGACTGATCTGGATTCCAACACACAGTGTAATACTTGCAGCAACCACAATGACCAGTCCAGTTCCACCAAGGATGACCAGAGCAAGAGGCACCTGACATTGCTGCCAGAGCAACCACAGACTCATCTACCACAGGAATATCAGGTGGAAGAGGGCCACTGGTCACACTGAAGGCTAGGAAGAGGATTTGGTGAGAAAGCAGCAGCAGTTTCTGTAGGTGCAAGCAGGCAGAGTTCAGCTCCAAGAGCAGAGACACCACTAAGAAGCCCATGTAGTAAGGAGACAGAACAATGGTGCTGAGGCAGCACATTATCTGGGAGAGGCATCGCATTATCTGGGAGTGGAAGTCTAGGTCAGAGGACCTTCCATGACCTGCACCCATCATGTCCCAATCTCTCCCTATACAAGGGACTCTAGAGCATTTTGTGAAAGTTCCCCCAAACCTGACCTTTATGCTTTCCCTTGTCATGGGGACTGAACTACCTTGGCTCAGGGGCTGTCTAATCTTGGGGCTTCAGCATCTGTACAGTACCCCCAACTTCCATTCCTGGGCTTTTGTGCCCCATCCCTACACCCTATATCAGAAATCTCCATATTCATAGTTTCTGTGATCAGCTGGACACTTGGAGGGATCCAAGCTTCTTGGGCAGTGTCCAAATTCCAAACTGTGGCCAGCGGTCAATCCCTCCTCCAATTCATCCTAGGATTGGAATGATCAACCCCAGCTAGGGTCAAAGAATTTGTGTGAAGTCAGAGGAAAGAAAGCTAAAGAGAGGTTCAGAACCCAAGTTGGGCAGGTCTCCCTTCTTGTCTGGCCTCTCAAAGTCCTCCCACAAATGGTGACAAAGAAGGTCCTAGGCCTGACCCAGGTCTGGATCCACAGCATGTAAGCTCCATTGGCCAGGAAGTAACCTATGGAGATGGGAGAAGGGGACATGAAATTCCCACTCGAAATTTGCCCTTCACCGGCCCAGTCTTCCTTGCAGATCCACTGACATTGACCCCAGCAGCAGGACTCAGGGCCGGTGGCCATGAATCCAGTTGGTGGTCGTCTGAGAGAAATGGGGGAGCCAAGGCCAGACTATCTGAGACCCCGACCCATTCTCAGATTGGGTACTTCCCTCCCACCCATTCATGTCCCCACTCCAGTCTCAGACTTTGAAGCACTCTCCAATCAGTTCTGAAGGTACACGCCGGGTCTTCTAGCTTCAGCTTTCCCTGCTCATCCTCATTCCAGTGCCTCTCGAATCCCTGGGGCCCCGCACCGGAGCAGCACCCCAATCCCGGTCCCGGTGAGCAGGCTGTGTATCAGCGAGACTACAGATGTACCGCCACTTCCAGCGGTTCTGTGCAGCAGATCCCGGCATGGGCAGCAACTGCAGCCCCCGAAGGCGGCAAAGGAGGCTCCAGTCAGGAGAAATCCCGAAGGCGCCATGGCTCCCTGGGTCAACTAGATCCGGACGGGTTCCTGTGGCCCCTGTGCCCTCCCGCAGGACGCCGCCAAGACACCCCGCGGGATGGGTGGTCTGGCTTCCTGACACGGCCAGGATGCGGGGCTCCCTTGCCGGCCCCGCCCTCCGCATCTGCTATAACTTTCCTCGGCTTGTCCACGCCCCGATTCCTCCGCCTGGCGCTGATTGGAGCAGCCGTGGGGCCACCGCCCTAGGAGCCACGGCAACCGATCGCGTCCTGCATCAGCCTGGGGAGAGCGATTTGGGGTCTTCTGGGTACTAAGCAGGGAGACCGAGTACAGAGAGACTGCCAGGATGTAAATAGCGGGTTTTTGGTTTTTTTTTTTTTTTCAACTCCTCGTGTCCTGAATCCCTCCAAGTTTCAGAAATGGGTTCCTAATTTTACCTCACACTCCTGAGGGCCCCGCCCCACTAACTCTCACCTTCTCTTCCCTGTTGCCTCATCTTTCACCTACTGTTACCGCTCCCCATGCACCCCTCACAGACTTGAAGGTGAGGCAAGTGCAACCCAGCACTAGGGCCCAACACGGACCCCAGGACGGACTCATCTTTCCCTCCCGGTGTTAGTTGTGGGAATGCTACTCCTCAATTCCTTGGAGCCACCCTTCTGCTTCCCAAGGTTTCCAGAACTTTGGACACATCCCAGCACTTGTTAAGTACAGGAGTCCTGCCCCCTTACATAGCTTCCGAAAAGGAACAACAGCCCCCATTTTGGAGAAGTAACCCACTGGGGACCCTAGCCTCTTTTTATTTTTCCCCAATTTTTTTTTTTTTTTTTTTAAGGAAGGCAGGGTGGAAATGGTAAGCCTCACCAAGGCAGTCATGAGAACTACTTCCTTTCTCAGGGCTTCGTATCTTTTGGATAGGCAGGAGAATCTCTTCCAATCAGAGGACAAGGGAAGGTAACAGGTTCATGTCAGGTTGGGGCAGAATCAAAATAAAAAGTGGTGTTTTCAGCAGCAGGATTGTTAGGATCCTAGAACCCTCTGGGAATTGAACCCAGAGCCTCACAAGCAATAGGCAAGGGGCTGCAAGACTGAGCTACATGCCCAGTCCAGAAGTCTTAAGAAGAAAACCCTTCCCAATCCCTCAGATCTTGGAGAGCAACAGTTTTTTTGTTTGTTTTACTATTTTTCCTTCCTACTCCTCTCCACACCTTTTTAGCTGGCTGAGAGGCAGCAAGTCAGAAAGTTGCTTTCTGTATGCTGAGGGCCAGTCCTGAAAAGTTAAGTTCACAGGGTTGCAGGAGACCCTGGGTTTGATCCCCCGTTACTCCCCCCAAAAAAGAATGAAGTTCATAAACCAGTAGGTGCCCCATCCAAATATTTTCACCTGGGAACATCTCCTTCTTCTACACCATCTTATCCAAAGGCTTAAAAAAAATCAGTGATTTTTTTACATTTTTTTATTATACGGAAGCAATATACAATGTAGAAAATTTGGAAATTACAGAAAAACCAAAGATGAAAATTACATTTATTCCACCATTCAAGTAACCATTATTAACATCTGAGTATATCTTCAGTCTGTTTTCTATATACACAAGCATACACCCATTACAACAAAATTGTGTGTGTGTGGGTGTGTGTGGTATTGGGCATCAAATCCAGAGCCTTGTGCACATTAGGCAAATGTTCTATCATTGAGCTACATCCCCACCCCTACAACCATATTTTAACAACAAAATTGGTTTTAAAATGAAACTGTCACATACACTATTTTTGTAACCTCTTTAATATTCAAAGAGCATTTTTCTTTCCAGTCAAAATGTTCTTGTACATGACTTTTAATGGCTGCACAGTACTCCACCATCTGGACAGATATACAATAATTTACTTAAGAAATCCCCTATTGCAAATTTTCATTACAGCAGAAAAGGAATGAATTCCCAAACAGTTGCTTTCCATTTTTCTTTAGGCCTGGAATGAACGAACATTTTATAACTAAATCTTTAATTATTTTCTTAAGAGAGTCCCAAATGTCAAAACACTGGTTTAAAAGACATGAAACTTTTTAGGGTGTTTAATACATATTATCAAACTTCCATCCAGAAAGGCTGTACCAATTTATACTCCCACATACAATGTATAAGAGTTCTTTGGCCAATATTGCATCTTATTTATTATGCTAAGGGAAAAATGCTTTCAGTGATTTTTTTTCCTTCCTTAATCATTATTATAAAATCATTTTTTCATGATCTTATACATTTGAATTCCTTTTATGAATTTCCTGTGTATGTCCTTTCACAGCTGCCTCATGCTCCTTGAGGCTGCTTATATAAAAATCACAGGCTGGGAAAGAGCTGGAAGAAGGCAGGTGAAGCCATGGGACACTTCACCATGGTTTCACATCTCCAAGAGAGGCAAAAGGACTGAAGAACAATGGTGAGTGAAGTAGGAGATGGCTGGAAGCTTGTCCTTGGTGGAGGCTGGCTGTTCTCCCTCCTCCTGGGGAACTCCAGTCCTTGATGGGCCCCACTGCTGGCTGCCCAGATCCAGCCCTGTGCTCTCCAGGTCTGGTCATTCACTGGTCTTCTGCCTGCCTCTGTGTTTTCAGGCTGCCCTTCCTCACCTCTGCTCTGTGATGGCTGAACATGGCAGAGCTATATGCTCAGAGCTGGATGGACACACTGTGGCCAGTGAAGTGAGGAGGGGAAGAAAGGGTGGAAGCAATGTCCAGGGACAGAGCAATCTTTGTTGCAGCCCCTGAGTAGACTCAGTCTACCCACCCTCCTCTACCACAGTCCTACACACATCCTGCCCCTCAGTTAAGGCTACAGAGGAGCTGGGTTCAATGATCTTCTCTCCCCTATGACTTTCAGTTTCTCATAAATGGAGAATAGGATCGAGCCCCCCTGCACATCTCCTCTCACCAAACAGATCAAACAGCTTCCTGTAATCCCAGAACTTGGGTAGTTCTGTCAGGGAGACTGATCCAAGGCTGAATCACACCAGAGCCCCAGCCCAAGCCCACAAGTGAGAATGAACGAGGAGCTAGAGGTGGTGGGTTTACACTGTCTGACTTCCAAAAGGGGGTCACATCCCACAACCCATCTTCCCCGGTTGTACAAGCCCGAGCTTAGTGTCAGTCACTACCCTAGAAAGCAAAGTGAGAGAAGCAGCAGTAGAACCCCACTGGCTGTTGGGTGGCAAGGGAAGCCTTAGGTCATGCTTGCATGGTGGGAAGTCAATATAAAGACTGAGCTCTTACTAAGCCCCTCGCTCTATCTCCCCACCCCCCAACACCTGGGATTGTAATCAGGGATGGGGGAGGGAGAATTTATGTGAAAAGCTGTTTTGTTCCCACCCACAGGGGAAGGAGAGCCCAGGCTGAGTCAGCACAGGTGGGTTTCTAATGCCCTTCTATGTACTCATCTGTGGGATTCCCCATCTCCAGGTGGAGAAACAGGTGTCCCAAAGATTTAGGTGTCCCTAAATCTAGAATCTAGGCCAGTCTAAGAAAACACAGGGAAAAGAGCAGAGGGATGACTTATAGAGGTAAGAGTTTTACTATCACCTTTCCCTAAAGAGTAAACTCACTTTTGGAAAGGCCAGTAGGGAAGATTGGGAGATAAGGAAAGTAGGTGAAGGAGGAAATCTGGGTCCAGGTGTACAGAGTTTCCTTCTCTCCATTTCTTCCCATTGCCACACAAAGACCAACTAACCTTGGAGTGTTTGAGCCACCTATTCCCCAATTCAGCCAGCATCTCTATCTAAAGCTGCTCCTTTGCTGGGACAATCTGGGTGAAGGTTCTTTGAGTAGGGTTTTCTTTCCTCCCCAAAGCTATTATCACCCCTGCAGTTAAGATCTTCCCAGCCCCAGTTCTGTCACCTTCCAGATGATAGAGAAAGCAGATCCTTCTCCTCTTCCTCCTTGAAGCCAGGGGCAGAGGGCAACAGTTCTTCAACTGGCAGCTTTAGCTGGGTCAGGACATAAAGCTTGCCACTGAAGAACTACTGCGGCTCAGCCAGGTGAGGATGGGGGAGGCACAAGCTCCTATAAGGAAAGGGAAGAAAAATGGGAAGGCACTAAGCAGGGCTGTGTCACAGGGACATCATCCCACTAGCCATCAAAACGCAGCTCCAGCAGACCTTCAGCCTTCTAATGAGGGGGTTCATGGCTGGGACCTGGGACTGAAGGAGCTCTAAACTTCAGTGACAGACAGCTACAAAGAGACTTCCTTTGCTCCTCTTCACAGACCAGAGCTACAGAAACTCTTAGCAATCCACTGGGCACTTCAGCCTCTCCAGCATTCAGAGAGGGCAGGGCCTAGGACCCAGGACACACCCCACCAGTCACTCAGAAACCAGGTAAGAAGTTGTACCTCAGGTCCAGAAATGTGAGTTCAGTGATCAACCCAACTGACTTGTTCCTAGAGAATTCAGCTGGAAGAGAGTTTGGGGGGCCTAGACTGGGGAAGAGTGAGCAAGGGAAGAGATCTAGTGTTTGGAAGAAGGTCAGCAGAGGCTCCCAGACTGTAAGGGAGAGGACAGTGGACCTAAGCCTGGAGGGGAGGGAGGTATGGGCAGGGTGGCTGGGCAGCTTCCTCAGGACTCTCAGATGCCAGGCATTCCGCTTGCACATTCCGGGTACATCTGGTATGAATTCCAGGCTGTCTGCCGGCCCCTCCATGTCTGAACTTTGTTCCAAGTTCCAAGCCCCGCCCCCACAGTTCCAACGCATGAATCAGCAGGAAAAGCCGGGCCCTGCAGCATGGCCCAGGGAGGGGGCTGGGGGCGTGGCAGGTTGAGAACTGTGAGCTGGGGAGGGCGGGTCTGCAGTGACACTCTGTCCAAGGGCATGGCCCATGCCAGACTGAGAGGCCAAGGCGATTTTGCTTTGGGATTTCTATACTAAGAGAGTGGAAAGATTAGGATGGGGGTGGGGGGTTTTCAAATTCCAAAAACCTCTTGAGGGGCATGAACTTTATGGTATCTTCCTTCTCTTAGGTGACCATCCAACT